ACATGCAAGATAAAATCACAAGTTAAAGCGCTTTTACTTCCATCAGTATTTTGAACGAAGCTGTGTATTAGAAGAAAAGAAGTTTATATTTTGGATGCAGTGTTAGTGAAACGAAGATCTGATGATAAAGATGAAAGACTTCTACTGCGAATAACTTATAAAACCTGAATTAAGCGATTTGACTAGAATTAAAATCGTTGTTAATCCATTGGAATTCATTCTCTACGCGATCCCCAAATCTACAAATGTTACGTCTTTGTGTTATATCTTTGTTACGTAAATGATGATCTTTACTTAAGTTTATCAAGGCATTATTGCGAAAGATGTGAAATCGAAAAAAAATATGTTTCACGTGCAAAACTGCAGCATTTAGTATAAGAGAATGTAAAACAAAATATGAAACACATTGCATGAAACGACCTAAACTGCTTAAGGATGAACTTCAAAAGATATCTGTAAAAGGACTAACTATAAAATTCCCAAATTTCAAATTCTTGCCCAAGTTAAAACAACCCTCCCTCACGTGAACAGTGATTTTCCTCCATAAAACGTTTTCAAATAGTTACCAAGCTATTCAAAGACTGAATAAAGCTAATATCTTGACAGGGATAATAAATCTTCCAAGACAATGGATCAAGACTGTCATTGTGAAGCAAGAGGTTTGCATAGAAAAAATGTAAGGAAGGACTGCCTAAAATAAAATTAACCTGAGGAAGACATTTTAGAGAACATTTCTTTTAAATTGTCCTCGTATTGTATATATTTTCTGCTATCCCGATAGCCATTCTGCAATTATCTGCTTTAAAAATGGATGGCTGTGATAGCAGTTGGCAGAAATGGAGCTATTTGCAAATCTGTTCGTTATTCTGACGATAAACTTGCAGAGGGCATTTTGAAATCGATTAAATTGATACGTGCATAATATAATTTAAGAAATCAAATTAGTAATTAGTACAGAAATGCATCATTGCATGCTTTCGATTTCAAAATGCAATTGCTTATCGAAAATTAAGCTACTGTTTCTTGAGAGCAGATCGCATTTAATGGGACAAAGAGCCGCAAGGTTGCGATCCGCAGTTAAGGTATCAGAGAGCCGCATGCCTCTGCTCGGTGGTAGATTCAGGCTCGGTAGGGACCGTATGCTACACAGAGATCCCATGGTTGTGGGGGCGGTAAATTGTTAGATATCGAAGGTCGTCCTTTGGGGTTTGGCTCGCCTTGGTCAACCCTGTGGGATGGTTGATGACTTTACTATGACTTTCTTCTCTTTGCGGTGGATGCGCAGCCGTCCACCTTTGACTTTTGTATTTAATCGAGACTGTGTAAAACAAAATTGTTCCCCTGCGTTGAGCGGGAGATTAGTCCTCCTCGGACGGTCTCTAGAAGCTGGAGAGTTTAACTCTGTATGACAGTCTTGAGCTTGTCGGTCTGGGTGCCCCCTCCTCCTAGTATCTATACGGAACATTATTACGATTGTTATATTAAAGCGCTGTAAATTACAAAGTAAATTGTAGGAAAAGTACATTTATTCTGACTAAACAATTACAATTATTATAGTTTTAATATTTTTAATAAATATGCTTTTGTTCATCACCGATAAATATTTTTTTCTCTCAGGAACAAAATGATAAGTAAAACGTTCGCCATTATTATTACTTTTTAAACCCTGTAACGGACAATCAAAAGATAGTTCATTAGTGTTATGTCTTTCAACACCACAAAAAATGGAGGCCTAAACCCGGAATTTTCCAGCCTAATAACAGGCATGGGATGCATTTGGCTCACTGAAAAAACTGCATTTTGGCCAGAGAAAATGTTTGTTACTAACAGTGCGTGAGATTATAGTCTAAATGAGATTTGTTATAAAGTAACAATAAGAAAAAAAGATTTATCATTAAAAAATTCTGCATTCTTTAAATATGATCTCAGCAACTTGGTTCTACATTCTTGAGTAAAACAATAAACGATGATAATTCATATTCGTATTGTCATTAGTTTAAATTGCTATTTCAAAAACAAAAAGCCAGTTTTATTTAAATTGGCATTTCAAAAATGAGAAGCCAGTTTTATTTCAGATTGCTTTTAATTACTTATGCTTAACTTCACTATGTATTCAGTCTGTAAATTTTAATACTTAAATTCGGTTACAAAGAATAAATGGCAAGCACATACTAATTAAACTAAATTCACAGTAATTAAACTCATTTGTATATAAATATGCTGATCAAACGAATTTTAATTAATTTATTTTTAAAAATATAACGCACATTTAAAATAACTTTTAGTATTGTAATTAACACTCATTTAAACGGAGCTTATTATAACAACCGTTCCATTAGAACAATCAAAGCAAAAACGGCCTAGTCAATGATAGCATATTAAATCCAGTTTCTTTATAACGACCACTCGTTTTAATGTATTCTTCCCTAAAGAATTAATCTAGCGAGTCACATTTGTATATTTTAACCTTCATTCTGCTTCGATACTTGAGCAAATTTTTAAGACTTTTTTTTTTTTTTTTCTTTAAAGACTTTTTCTTATGTTAATCTCAAAATCACTAAAATATAATTATCAACATTCAAAACATAATTTAGACTGGAGTTTTTTAAAGAAAATGCTCAGAAATGCTTTACAAACAAACCAACATCATTTTAAGTTAAAGCGTTTTTATTAGGTGGTTTCGTCTTTAAGGTGCATAAAATTTCAGTTAAATTAGTAAACAGCGTGTAGAATTATTAAGTGTTTTGAAACAGGACATGTTATAAATGTGCAATGTCCTCTTCGGGCCTCGAAACCTGGACCTCTCGAATATGCGTCGAGTATGCTTCCATTTACATCATTACATCACAAAGGCATGCGAAAATGAGGAAGAAAATACCTTATAACCAAATTGTACATTTTTGCCAAGATGGCAAAGTTATTGAAGTTACCCACTTCAGTCAAATGTATAAAATTCGCTAACTCTCCTCAAGACAAAAGAGATTGAAATTTTGAGCATTAACTCGAGCTGAAGTGTGTAGGGAAAAATATAGTGGAATACTATGTAAAACTATTCGAAAAGGATTTATAAAATGTTGACTATAAATTACTAGAATTACAGAGGCCCACTATGTTTGGTAAAAAATGAAATATTCATATAATGCACTGAAGTTTCTTTAAGATTTTCACTAAATACCATGACATAAATTTTAATATACTTGTAAAGACATTAGATATTTTGGAGCGGGAGCCATGAAGAACGAGCATCGCCTTCGCTGTGATTCAAACTACGGTCCTCTCAAATACGCGCCGAGTGTGCTGACGACTACACTACGAAAGCGAGAGAAATACCTTATATACTCCCCCTTTTAAAGGGCGAGTGGGGTTTAGGGGACCAAATTGCTAAATCCTGGTGGTGAAGAACCATCTTTCACCACCTTTCAGTTCGGGCGCCACTGTAGAGACATTAGGTATTTTGGAGCGGCAGACGTAAAAAATGAGCAACACCTTCGCCAGAACACGAACCACAGGACTCTCGAATACGCGCCGAGCGTGCTGACCACTACAATACGAAGGTATGCTAAAAAGGTGGGAGAAATGCCTTGCTCTAAATTTTCAAATACATACTTCCATGGCGATACTTAAAGGACACAAGTTGAAATTAATAGTATTTATGAAATAGAGCTAACACAAAATTTCATGATATTGAATGTAGAAAATTAATTAATTTTCTTTCATTTCTTTATCTGTGGATTATTTAGTTTATAAAAATTCAAATACACTGCAATTAGTTGTTATAAAATTATCTGAACAGTTAATATTTTATAATTAATATGTTAATTAATGTGTTAGATACCATGCAATATAGATACAAAGCTTTTCAGATATAATGTGTGCATAGTATGATCAAACAATCCTCTTCGAAAGATCTACATTTGGATGTTGCTCAGGGTTAGCAGACAGAAAAACCATTATCGACACATGCTATTCATAAATTACTTGTGGCACTAGGAAATTTTGTGCGAAAAGTTTGATTAACATACTGATAATATTACCGCTATCAGATATGTTCAGAGCAGACCCATGTACGGCTATCCTTTTTATTTCAGGAGGAGAGGATAGGGAAGTTATTCAAAAATTCCGACATTTTAAATTTATTCAGCCCTTGCATAAATATAATTAATCATCAAAAAACTGAATTTCTATATTATTAAAACGTTATGGACATAGTACACTGAGATACAGTGAAAATTTGCAGTTTCAATATCAATTGATTTTATTGAACTTTCTGTAAAGATCGCTTCAATTGTAGAAAATGTTTTTTTCATGCATGAAATTATTGGGTTTTATTACAATTACTTTACACTTTCCTCCCAAACCATTTGAATGGTACCCAGTTGTTTTGGTAATTTTTTATTTTCAACTTTTTCCTATAAATGAAACTGTTTAGATATTTAGATATCAAAATATATGTTTAATCACATGATTTTTTTGCACAAAATCATCCAACTCATACGTCCCTACAATAAAAAAGGCACTGAATAAATAAATGAAAATTTGTGAAGTTTCTCATATGTGTTGGAGCTTTATTAGATCTTCGTTCCTCGAAGAACAGTATAGTACGAAGTAGTACATATTGTTTATTATTTCGAGGTTGTATTTCAATTTTCATTGTTAAACATTACACATTTTGGATAAAATATTTTTTTGCATGATGTAAAACTGATTTCTTTATTTCTTTACTTCTGATCTGACTCAGCTTATTGAAGACGATAGTTTCTCCTATTGCCCAGATCTCTAATGTTTTGAGGGGGAAAAATAGGGATGAGCTAGCCAAAAGTTCGTTCTGCTGTTTTTAGATCCTCAGTGCAGCTCTAAGCTTTACCGTTTTCAAATCACTTTACAGAACTCTTTATTTGAAGACTTTCCTAGCACTGATAGCAGGATGAAGATGAACAAAATCTCATTATTTTAACCTTAATCACAATCAGTCCTTACAAGTTATCGTAAATAAGTAGCATTTTACTTTCCAAACTCAGTCGGAAGCGGAAACGCAACTTTCATACCTTGTCTGCCAAAACGGAAACATTCAGATTCTTCCTGTCGGGAAAAGGTTAAAGAAATCTGAAGATACACTGGTATGTATGCATAAATACTCTGGTATTGTTTAACTTGAAATAATTGTAGAAATACTAATTTTAATGTAATTTATTTTTGAAACCTATAATTAAAAATACGGGCTTTTCATTTTAAAGCAAGTTAATTTTTTCAAATATATCAAAACGCATACCATATGCATAATTTTATGTTTACCTTTTACTTAAATTTCCTTCCTTCTCCTTAACCAGTTCGTCAGAAAGAGAAATAACGGATTGTAACATTTAGTAGATATCTTTCTATTTTAGTTAAGCAAGGACTTTTGATTGCAGTATATGAGTAGTTAATTAAAAAAAAAATTAAGGAAAACTTTAAATAACAACCTGCAATGTTACTGAGCAACAGCTACGAACCCCTGATTACAGGATGATTGTAAAAGTTTCGTTGTCAATTAATTCCAGAGATTAAGTATGGATGCGAAAGCGGAACAAAGAAATATGGATATGAATTTTACGAAATGAACGTGAAAGGATCCCTATTAACATGATATAATTTTCAAGAGTAGTTGTAAGATAAAAATTAAAACTAGAGTTATTATTTTTGTGTCATAGAATGTTTTAAATTTTCCCTTCTAGTCTCAGAGAAGAGTGTCTTGAATATTTTATTGTCTTAAATTTTTATTTAAATCATTCCGTGTTAAATATTCTGCAAAAATTATCATAAAAATGCCATATAAATTCGATTTTGGCATCAGCAAATTCTCTCTGATGTGCGAGATAGTTGCATATAGGTTATAAGATACTTTCTTCTACCTTGCCTGGTGCCTTCATGGTGTAATTGAATAGCATGTCCGGCTAGCACTGGGAGGTTCTGTGTTTGAATTCAGGCGAGGCATTGTACATTTTTTACGTTTCCTGTATTAATAAACCTAATGTTTCTACAAGTGACAAGAATTTCATGATAATTGATAAATGTTTACACTGAAATCTTAATTACGAGATAAAACAAAACATAATTTTACTATTTTATAACTAATAAAGTATTCAAAAATATGACTGAAAACGCTCATAATTATCTAACGTGGTTATTATCTTATTCGGTGATATTTATCAGGCTTCAGTAGCCCTTTAGAACCCCAAGGAAAGTTTTCTTTATCCTGATACCTGATGCATAATTTATGATTTTCATTTTATTGTTGCCTATGCTGAGCTCCTTACGAGAGCTTTGTCTGAATTCCATTCACAATAATGCTGTAGCAATTCACAGATTCCTAAGGACGCCTTTTATATTTCCCAATAAACGTCTGATAATTTCTTCTGTTTATTACATCAAAAATCTAAGACCAATTTTATATCAACTTCTACCAAGAATCCGAGCGAGTCTTGGCAATTATTTAATAAAACCAACTCTCTAGAAAGGTTATACGGTTATATTTAATGCACAATTGTCACCGAATTCTTATTACCAGTGCATAATTGCTGGAATGCTTCGAACTAAATAATTAAGGCGAAGGAAAGGCTTAATATTAAATTTATTTTAGAAATTAATCTCCCGTCAAGGTTAAGAAATAAATCATTAATGAAATCAACATTTTTCGTATATTTGAAATTTTTTAAAATGTGTATTCTTTAGCAATTTCTTCGAACTTTAATGTTAATCCGAAAATTCTAAAAAACTCATTTTTAAGCAGACATAATTTAATCTCCTTGTTGTGAAGAATTTCTTCAAGTTTCTTTTCTTCACGCCTGAGCCTTGAGACTTTTTAATTTTTTCAAGGGCATTATTTGGGTGACTGAGATTTTATCCTTTTTGCGTGCTAGTTAATTGGTTACTAAGTATGAATGTGTTTTTATTGCCATTTTAAGCAAATAAAATACTTATTATTTTATTTCCATGTCTTAACAGTGTACCATAGAGAACACTGGCGGCAGATCATGATAACTACTTTGTTCCGAGCATAATCTTTGTTAATTTTAATAATTGCTGTGCCATAGGTTCTTGATACACTCTATGCCTTTTTTGTAATTAAAGACAAAGACTGAAACATTTTTAAGTGTAATTTTGAATCAACAAAAATATTTTTTTCAGATAAATTTGTGTTTTAACTGTTTGGAATGAGGCTAACTTAGACAAATTCAATTTCTTTTCCTTTTTTACTTGAAGCTTAGGTTTTAAACTTCAGCAATAAATTAATGAATGAAAATATACTACTGTAAAGAATCAAAATATGCTAATTTAAAATTTTCAACTTATGACAAAACGTTTAACAATAAATTTAAAGACAAAACGTTTAACGTGTAAAATTTAAATTAAGACAAAACGTTAAATTTAGAAAACGTATTTAAAATAGTACTTAAATGGTTTAGCATTTACTGCATACGTTCAAAATGTATGTAACGATAATTAAAATTTATATAAATATTTAAAAATAATACATTAATTTAAATCATACTACCGTAAGGAGTAAATTCGTTAGCAGAAAAAATAATATAGGAAATAATAGAAAATATTGGAATTCTTTAAATACATTAATGAAATAAATTCTTATTAATTATGTTGTTAGAATGTTAGAACGTAAATACATATTTCCGAATCACTTAGTTTGTTCTCAGTAATATTTTATTATAATTTGAAATGAAGTATGTTCTACTAGTAAGCTTCGATTCTCCAACAAAACAAATAAACGAACGCTTGAAATTCTCTACTGTATGAATTGCACGGTAATGGGAATCGAAGAATTCTAAGGTAGAGAATAAAACCAACTTTAAACTTAGATATATTGAGATTTTGGGATATGATTAAGCGAAATGAATTACTAGATAAGTAATATTAAATAAAGATTGAACACAAGTGAATCAATTATTTTATTGTTTTATTTAATAATATAATTCAAACTTTGCACAACAGATAACAGTAAAATTAATAAAATAAATCAACTTATAAAAATTAATAAAAAACTGCACTGTACACAATGCGGCGGGTAAAAGCACACTGAAGTGCGTAAAAATCATACACATTTTTATTTCGCTTCGTTTTTTCTAATAATTCTGGTGTGAACACAACATGACTTCCTTGTACAGCCTATTAAATTATACACATTTTTTGCTGCATTTCACTTAAACTTATTTCCTCGAATTTCATTAGATATATCAAAAACGGATAGCAAGGAAAAAGTACATAAAAACTTAAAACATCTTCATTAAAAATTGTAAAGGAGAGAAAAACATAACACCCAAATTTTCAAATTAAATAGAGAGTTATCTCTATCTCGAGTTCAATGAGTCACGACTACTCTCTCGAACCTTATTTACTTCGACTACGACTACTCACTTATTACTACGACTAGACTATGTCGATTGCCGACAAGCGTCAATACCCCATTTTTCTACTCTTTTGTAATTATTTAATTATTATACGCCAGTTGCAACCCATATTTTTTCACGTGCATTTTTTTAGAAAAAGCCGTTCAATGCGGTGCAAGAAAATGGTTGGGATTACCACGGAGGTGGGGAAAAAATTATTGGTGAAATGTATGAAGATGGCATGCGTATCTGGGATTTAGCTATTGCAAACCATATGCCGAGAACGAAGGCAAGATTGTGAAAATATAAAAGACGCTGTTAAATCTGCTAACGTTGCGAAGGAGGTGAAACCGATAAGCAAAGATCAGAGACATTAGAGTGTGTTGAGAAATATCTTCGCAGAAAACTGGTTAACAGAAAAATATTTATGTACAGTACGTCATTTATGTATAGTATTACATACAGTATTTCATTTATGTACAGTACATATTTCACTCATTGCATTTGTATATTAGTACTAAGCCGTTATAATAGCAATAGGAATTTTATAAGAACGAATTAATATTTTCTTTTTATTTCTTAGTGTAAAACTTCATTTGGTATACGAGCCAGTTTAGTCTTAAGTCCGAGAATCTGGAACGGATTAGTTACGTAACCGAAGTACCACTGTTTCTGGGTATATATTTTGCCCTACGGAATGTTAAATGTTTTATTTAATGCTTGTGTGTTTGTATTGAGTATACAATTATGCTAAGTAAAATTACAAGGGCCAGTGTAAGCATATGAAAATTAAGATCTTGTACATTTTTTCTAAACTGACTTTGAAAACATTAAAAAAGAATAAAACAAGAATAATTTTGTCATTTAAGAAAGTTTTTCAATCAGAAGTATATATATTCGATCATTAATTGAAAAGTAAAGGCATAAAGACATTTATGGACACATGGTCTGATGAAACGGGTTACTGATGAAATTAGAAACAAAATACTGAATGAAAGATTATATCAATCTCTAAGAATCAAGCTATAGAACGTTTGAAAGAAAATAATTTCTGCGAAAGTACATCTGTTTTTTTGTTTTTTGGTTCTCTTCTTTCCTTATTCACTATGTTGAAACTTACTTGCTTCCCTTCAAGATAAAAATGTATACTTTCGATAGGATTAAAAGATAATTTTTATTTTAAACTTTTCGTCATTTTTTTTTTAATTTCCAACAAAAATATTTCATGCATCTTTCCTAAGTTTTTTGTAAGCTTTCATGTTATAAAAATATTCTTTTGAAATATAGTTTGTGTTATTGACTATCTGTCATAGTTCTTTTGAATTATTACAGCTCATTTGTTTATTCTACCTTTTCATGATTTATGTTTTTTTTTTTTTTTTATTATTATTTATTTTTTTCTTTTATTCTGTGCATGTATTTTTTTTTCATTGTTGACAGGCTACCGATGCGTTTCGAAGATTCTAGTTAATCAAAAATTCCGTTTCACGGCTTACTTAAAGGTTTGCCCCTCTTTGTCTTTTTCTGTCTAGCTTTCTCTTTTTTTATATGTAAGTTCTTTATAACGATGTATTCACAGTTTATCGAGTTATTGCAACTTTTTTTATATCTAGTTTAAAAGTTCTTTTTAATGCTTTTCTTGATTTCCTGTAAAAATTTTCAGTTTCAATAATATTTAATAGGTTTTATAAAATTATTTTACAGTATTCTAAAATCTAGCGAATGCATCTAATCATATCAGACAAATACGAGTTTGGAGTAAACCAGAGAGAAACAGTGTCCATAAAATAAATTTCATTAACAACCATGTTTTGCGTGATCTAATAAAATATTATAACCTAAGAAATAGTCCACTATATGTTTGTGTAAATTAAACTATCGAAAGAAAAGGCTTGTTTATTTCAGCAAAAACATTCGCTTATTTATTTATTAAGAAAACAAAATAGATTTTACAGAATCTGGTTACGCTTTTGCATGGGGGCCCCATTTCAAAGAGAATTTTTCATACCCAAAATTATTAACTGCAACACAACTCTGAAACATAAAATATTCAATTAATACCTGGCGAAATATATAAAGACTGGTTGACACTGGGGACAAAAAATTAAGAGAATTTTTGGCAAAACATATTTTCAGCAAAAAGTTTCAGTTGCAAGAATAAGCTGTAGTGGTTCTCCGTGGTAAAATTTTTAAACTGGATATAACAGGAGTAATTTAAATAATATCTAGAATTTATGAGACACGCTTTTCTACAACCAAATATTATCTCAGGAATAACATATGTTAGTCACCACAAGCTTGCTGAAGGCCTATTCAAGACATGCATGGTTCCATAAGTAGACCAAATATGTAAAAATAAAAGGAAAATAGTCAATAGGGAATTATATGAGGTTTTCCTTATCTCCGGTGGATCTCCTTATGGCATGTTTTCCCTCTCTAGTGTCTTTTTACAACGGCCGTTTCCATCTTTTTTCTCTGCCTTCCTCACCGTCTTGTGTAAAGGATAGCACCTGCTTGCTTCACCTCTCAGCTTCCAATGTTTCGCTGATGCTCTTCTGCTCGGCGACGATTTTTCTTTCTTGTCGAAGAACTCCCTACTTTCTCATTCAACAAATCCCAAGAGGGTTGCCAACCACAACATAAGTCGTGACTGAAACAGAAAGGTGAAAAAAATCGAAGCTAAGGAACATTATAGAGATATTAGGTATTTTTTGGAAGCAGGCAAGTGAAAAATTAGCAACACCTTCGCAGGGAATCGAACCACGGAGCTCTGGAATACGCGCCCAGCGTGCAGACCACCACAACACAAAGGCATGTCAAGAAGGCCTAAGAAATAACTTATAACATGAATTCAACAAAACGAAGACAACTTCAAATACAATCTTATGATAATACGTTACACAAGTATATAACTACAATGAGGGGGAAAAAAACAAATTTGTTGCAAAATTGCCACCAAATTGACAGAAAATATGTTTTGACAAACACGAAACTTGTAAAGCACGAGTCGGGAGCAAACCTTGAGTTTACCGAAATCGTAGGTCACTATGAGTAGGCCCGTCTCACGACCAGTTCCCGCATCTTCAGCTATCATTCGTACTATTACGCGACGATCCTGGGCCAAAAGTTCCTTCTCTTTCTGTACTTTGCCCAGTGTGGGTGCATTTGCAGGCTGACTACTTCGGGGAGAGATTTCAATGGTGTTCCACCCTTCTCGAAAGCGTTTATATAACATTGATATTTGCGCTTCAAGGAGACAGCACATTCTCCGTTAACTATTATCAGCATCTGAGTCTCTTTCGCTGATTTTCCAATTTGAAACAGAATAGCATAATCGTTCGCTGATTCATTTTGAGTTTCGACGATAGACAAAATACCTTCGCTCTAGAATGAGCTGTTTCCACACGATAAACGCAGTGACAGTTCCACCGCTTGGGACCTGGTTCAGTCCAGTCTTAACCTATCCGGTGCAGGATGCGTTGGTTGCTTATTCTTAAGACGATGAGCACTTATTCTTAAGACGATGAGATTCTTAAGACGACGACGTCATTCATCGAGCTTTCTGGACAGAAGTTGCATGTCTTAACCGCAGTGCGCGAAATGTTTAGGAATATTTTCATGCATACGAGGATAAATCCTAACCACATTTAATAATATTTTGCGTCTTACTTTCAAATTCTTTCCGAGGAGCTATTTCTGACGGCAATATAAACTTTATCCTTTAGTTTCAGTATTAAATTATTGTCTTCAAACAAATATTTCATGCCTTGTCAACAAATAAGAAATTGAGTTAATGTATTGAAAGCTATATAGTGGGACTGAGCTAGTGTATAAAAAAGCAGTCAAAACATTCCATCGATTTCGCTGAATAATAGAGCTTTTAGGATATACGCCTTTCTACAAAGATATTAAAGTGGTCCAGAAGCATGTATAGTTAAGAATGTCTCATTTTGTTACTGAATTAAACTTGAACTATGAAAAGAAAAATTTTAACTATGTATGCATTGTGAAATAAAACTTCTAAACTGTAAAAAATAAAAATATTTTAAATATCACACTGGGCTCATGAAAACTCTCTCCTGACGGTTTCGTATATCTCAAAAATATAATTTACTAAAATGCTTATATCCAATTGCCCACTTAATAACTATAAAACATTGATAACTGCATTAGAATTTTAAAATGTCACTTTTAAATCTGAAATGAATGGACTTTCTTAATTTAATAAATTATACCATATAAGCGATAAAACTAATTAGGCCATATATAGTACAAACTAGTACGGAAAGGAATTACTTCTAAAAATCATAGAGGTACTAAATTTGAAACATCGGAAAGCCGTACATTTAGTGAACTAATTTTGTTTTAAAATATGGAATTTCCAGCCATTGGGGTACAATGCAAAATAATAAAATTCTAAAAACTCTAAACCTAAAATTAAATGTTAAAAATTCCAAACCTGTAATTCTTGTCAACAGAATATTCATAACCTAATTTTGTTATCCGAATTTAATATTTTTTCTTATAATTAGTTAATTATTTTTTCTTACTGTACAGCAATATTTCTAATTAGATATTTTCTCCCTTCCGCAGGCTTTCGGGGTGTAATTGGAAGCATACTCGACACGTATTCGAGAGGTTCAGGGTTAGAGTTCTAGCGACGGCACTCCACATTTTTTACGTCTCCTGCTCAAAGTAACCAAATGCCTCTCTCTACATTTCTCGAAGCGAAAGCGGCTGGCCGAAGTTACAGTGAACAAAGTTTTTATGTAAAAATCAAATGTTCGCTTAGATTTTGTGACCATTATATGACAATTGAGAGTTTTAAGAAACTTAAAAACCTTATATAACTTTAGAAAACTTACAGGTGATATTATACGGATCTATACTAGTTTACAGTGTTGAAATTAACAGAATGTACAGTCAGACAGACGATCATCCTGTCTACCTTCTAAATACAACGATTACTGATCCAAAATGAACGTTTAAAATAAAATGTTGATTAATAAATTAACTTAATAGTTACAACGCCCCCAAAATGTACTCGGAACTGCTCAGATTGAAGGCAATACAGAACAAATGCTCAAATCAAATTAAATGAGATATAGAGTTTAACACGCTTAGTAAACTTCGTTCTCGAAGCGAAAGTGGCTCACCGAAGTTACACCGACCAAAGCTCAAAGCAAACAATAAAAAGCGATGCAAGGTACTAGTTGTAGCAAAAGGTGAAAAATACTTTTTTTTTTTTAAACTGAAGAACTTTGCGTTTACAAACAGACTTTAACGAATTTTTTCATTTTGGTGAAAGTTCAAATAAAAGTGGATGCAAAATAATACGATAACTGGATTAATGGTATAAAATCTTATAATGCGCAAAATTAATGCTATTTTTGCGTATGTAATGTACGTAAATTCAAGAAACAATTTCATAATTTTTTCGTAAAGTTAATAAAAAATGCATTTTATAGTGGTTGTAAAACATTTTTATAATATAAATTTCTGAAATTCATTCCTTTTATTTTGTTAGTTGTTAATAGTATTACTCTGGCGAAACGAATTTTGTTTGTGCTAATCAGGTTAATAGCTCATACTAGAGTTTAGAGTAAAAAAAAAATGAACAAAAAGTCAAATCAGGGGAAAAACACAAATCCAAGACGTTTATTATCTGATAAATGATTAAAAAATAGTGTTAGCTTGTAAACAGAACTCGAATTTCTTAAATGAAAATAAAATAATTTAGTACTGCTTTTATTCTTTCCGAATTTGAAAACATTTTCTTTTACTTCATTACACAGTAAAAGTTCACTATAAAGGTTGGGCAAAAATTAAAAAAAGAAAAAATTTTAATTTCCCATAAAGCCGCAGGCAATAACGTAACAACAGATCATTACATACTAAAATCTTTTGAAACGTGGGAAATTTGAACATTAGGTTTTTTCCAACTGATGAACATAATAAAAGTGGAATTTCTCTAACGACCAAAAAAATTGATATTGAGGAATTAATTTGAATAAAAGTTTGTAAAGACCCTCTAAAGAAGATTTTAGAAAATTACACAGTTCAGAAAAACTTCAGTGCGTTGTATAAAATCACCGTATTATAGATCATGCAAAAACATTTTCTCAATTTTTTAATAGAGTAAACTCGGAAAATTCTGTTGTTATGATACAGTGGCGAAATATAGCATACATAAACAAAACAATTTATTAAAATGGAATTTTTATTTGATTCCTTTATTTCCATTGAAAAAGAAATTGTTTTCTTAACTCTTGCTTAATTTGAAAATGTACTTGGTACTTGGTACTAAAATTTAACATAAATCTCTACGCCTAAAAAATGTCTAAATGTGAACTTAAAATTGACGTAAACGTTTTAGACTAATCTAATACATAATAATGGTAAAAATTAGCAGTCATAACAAGCCATACTTTTGGTATCATGTTCCAAAATTTTCCTTTAAATAGAGAAAAATTGGAATTATTAATTTAATAACCGCTTTTATACTAGCGAACCTCTCTGATATTTTATATAAATGCAATTTGCTACCTTCGAAAGACCCCATTTACAAATTTTAGTACTACGTTCTGGCGCATGGCTGCCATAACTTGTTGTATGTATGGGTGGTCAGGTACAAGAAGAAGTAGATGAGACACCATAGTTTCACCATTAATCGTATAGCACACCAGTTTCGGAGCACTAACTGTGCATTTCCGTCCCAGTTTTGAGAAAGAACACCCCTTGGCGCAGTCCGAATGTCACTACTACTTCTCCTTCCCTACTTAATTCTTACCCTTCTCTCTGTACCTAACCACTCAAGAAGACTTTCGGCTCGCCGTGTATTTTAAGCGTCCCCTTGCATACATTATACATTTATAAACATGCAAACATCCATTCTTTCTGAAGGATTCGACCCCGGGCTTATCGATACGGCAGTGACCACTCTACAGGCTTTCCGCAGAAAAATGTAAACAGAAACATTCTAATTTTTAAAATAATTAATTCAAATACACTTCACTTTACAAATTTATACAAATATCCCGAAAAGCGTGCCGAGTGAATCATTATCATTTTATCAGCAATATGAGCCAGTTTCTGCGTATTAAGACTTTTACAAAGATTTCACGATGAATTAGTGAAATAATGGAAACGATTGACTGTTTCAGAAGGATTCATTTTCATTGCGTCCAGTCTGGTATATAACAAAAAAAAATTAAATGTGACAGTAGGCCCTTTTCTTTTCTGTAATATTTTCTATATACAACCTTACCACAATTCCGCATAAAACAAACGAAGCATCGAGACTTCGTTATCGATTACAAAGTGCAAAGTATATCAGCTATTCCCCATAGATGGTGAAAGGACAGTCTGTGCTATCCCAAAAAGCGGGGATCGTACTTCCCCATTGATTCTACTATTAGAAAATTTAAATAATTCCTACAACAGAGATGTAATAATCAGAATCCGTTTCAAAATTCAAAGTGTGCGAAAATGTTGTTCTTAATCGTGTTCCTGTTAGTAACGGGTAGAATTTTCTAATGCTTACTGTACGCTTTGAGCGGTAAAGAGAAAAACTGCATCTGTTTATAATGTGCAATTGTTACAAATTTTATAAATCTGGAAACAAATCAAAGTGATACTGCATATATTTATAAACTGATTTCTGTCATAAAAATGTCCTTTAGATTTTACGATTCTTTGTAAATATAATCGAAAATCCTCTAACTAACTTCAAGGGAGTGGGATTTAATTCATGATTCGCTATATTCTATCCGTTAAAGAAAAAGGGAGTGTGAAAAAGAAAGTGTAAATACTGAACTGAAAAGTCACAAAAACACGTGAAAAATTGAATGATAAATCGGAAAAAAATGTGATCACCTCTACCAAAATATAAATAATAAACTTAATTTTAAAAAAAGAAGTAATTATTGTTATGCGCAGTTGCTTAATTTGCGGTTTGTTCTTTTCCACTTTCTCTATATGTTAATAACATGATAAATCAGTTAGCATAAATATAAGTTTTTTTTTATACTTCAATCAAATCTAAACAACGCAAAACTTCTATTCGAAGGACATAACTTGAAAGATATTTAGCTAATTCCTCTTTCTCTAACAACGAAAATTTCAAAATTTCTATTATAATATTAGCCTTAAAAGAGCTCTGTTTGACAGCTCATTTAAAGAATTTGAATGGAACCAGAGAACTCATTTATGTTCTTCGATTCAATGGTCATGAACACCGTACGGTGTAAAATATGTTGACTGTGATCCTTCTTATAGGTTTCCCACTAGTCTTGCAGAGACTTTGTTTAGAAAATGCAGAAAGGTGGCATGAAGATAAATGAAAAGTAATGCCCAAGCGTTTTCATTTACAAATGGAAAGTGAATCCTAGCACTCTAAACATGAATTGTTTTAAGGACTAACAGATTTTTCCTTTAAACTTGCATAAATTTTGAAAAAATATGAAAAGCACAGGGTTCAACCGCAGATAGCCGTATAGTTCATTATATCTAATTTTCAAGTCTCTGGAATTTCCCTGTAGCAATATAAAATAACATGAAGTGTATGTGAAATAGACGGAACCAAAAGAATCATTCGTTATATCCGGGAGTTCGTCATCAGCCGAGATCCTTAAAGCGGTACTTGACTGTATGACCAAAATTTACAGGTATGTAATGATATCCTTGAATCATCTGTAAGTAGTATGATTTTATTCAGAGGCCACCAAACTACGGCCCGAGTGCCGAATCTGGCTCACGAGCACTAACGGCCCGCTAGGGATTTCTCTAAAATAAATTTATAAAATTTAAAGTAACAAATAACATACATTTTAACTATTTTATATAACAGCCAATCTAGAACTGCGTTGCCTGTTATGCAAATTCTTTATAAAAATATTATAAACATTATATAACCGTTTCTAAATTTACAATGAGTGAAATACAGTAACACTCTATGTAAAAAATCTCATGTGGGCACACATGACTTCCTCGTACGCCCTATTAAATTACACATATTTTTGCCATACTTCATTTAAACATATTTCCTCAAATTTCATTAGAGATACATTTCTCATTCAATTAAATTCAGTTCTCACTTCGCAGCAAGGTAAAAATACAGAAAATCTAGAAACAACTTCAAGCAAAGTTTTAAATGTTTAAAATCAAAGTTTTCAAACAAAGAGTTTTAAAATATAAGTAAATGGCGGCCTAGTTAGATTTAGGAGTACTTAAACAACTTTTAAATTGCTTATAACTTTAGAAGTATTGCATGAAAACTAACTAAAGTCATAAAAGTCTTAATCGGAATATAAGAATAACAACAGTCAACATTTAAAGCAAAAAAAAAAAAAAAATTCAGTCAACATTTAAAGCAAAAAAAAAAAAAAAAAAAAAAAACCATTTACAAACACATAAGAATAAAAAACTGAGCTAACAGAGTGGGTGTACATATATATTACCCACTCTGTTATCTCAGTTATATAATATATATATATATATATATATATATATATATACTCACTGTCTGTCTGTATACATAAATATATATGGATACATATATAAGCAAAGTTGTAAGAACAATACAAAAAAGACCAATTTTGGTCAAATGTTTTGCGCAATGTGCTGCAAATTAAGGAAATGAGAAGAGAAATTGTAGTTAGCTCGCCAAAAAGTTACCAAAAGCTGTGGCTCCAAGTAAAATCCAACATATGCATGTTCAGTAATTTTTACAAGTTCGAATAAAAAACTATATGTTAAATATTTTCGGAAATTTTAACACAGTTTTAAAAAACTAATTAAATTGAATGAGGTGAATTATTAGGCTACATGCTAAATAAAATGTAAATTATAAAACACATTAAAATACTCATCGATGGAACAAGTTAAAGGCAAAAAATTAACCACAGTAAAAAAACAATCGATGGAACAAGTTAAAAAATATATTGAAAATTAAACAACGTAAAATGGTAAATTAGCTCAATTCGAGGTACACTCTGGCTTTTCAAGGGAAATTTC